ATGTATGTCTAACCCAGAGACACTGGAGGATGGGTCAAATGCAGGTTTAACCCAGAAACACTGGAGGACGGGTCAAATACCAGTCTAACCCAGAGACACTTGAAAATGGGTCAAATGCAGGTCTAACCCAGGGACACTGAAGGATCGGTCAAATACAGGTTTAACTCAAGTACACTGGGGGATGGGTCAAATGCAGGTTTAACTCAAGTACACTGGGGGATGGGTCAAATGCAGGTTTAACCAGGTCTAAACAGGTCTAAAACCAAACTCGATTTTTCAAGCAATGGTACAAAACATGAAACATAATAATAATGCATCAGTTTTATAAAACACTTTTTTTGGACACTCAGAGACACTTTACATTATTCACTCACTCCAGACCCAGTGGTGGTAAACTACTACTGTAGCCACAGCTGCCCTGGGGCACACTGACGAAAGTGAGGCTGCCAATCTGCACCATCGGCCCCTCCGACCACCACCATCACACACACACCACTTTCATCTAGGCAATGAGGGTGAAGTGCCTTGCCTAAGGACACAACAACAGTTTTTCGACTGGCGCCTCCTTTGGCTCGTGATTTTCCCACGTCTCTCAGCCCTGCTGAGCTTCTGAGATCTGACGGGATCAGACTCTGACAAGCCGGTGTGACCATCATTACTGCTCGACCTTTTTCATGATGGCCATTTTTTTGTGTGTGTAAATGTGTGTGTAAATGTGTGTGTAAATGTGTGTGTAAATGTGTGTGTAAATGTGTGTTTAAATGTGTGTGTAAATGTGTGTGTAAGTGTGTGTGTAAATGTGTGTTGTATTCTCCAGCAGGTTCATAAATCTGCCCCATCACCGAATCTTCAACCAACAAACTCCACAAAGAATAAACATTAACAAAACTCATGTTATGATCATGAATAAAACAGAAGGAACTTGTTCACTCAGATTTTTAATTTTAATTCCAGCATCAGTCTATTTCATGATGATGAGAAGTTTGTGCAGTTTGAATGTTCGACATCTCTAGGACCATAACATGAGTTGAGTTTGTTGATGCCCCCTGTGGCTCCTGATTTTCTCAGTTGTCTCCCATCCAAATACTGACCAGACCCGACCTCTGAGCTTCTGAGATGTGACGGGATCAGACTTTGACAAGCTGGTATGACCATAACTGGATAATGACTTTGCTGAGTAATGAATTACTTTTACAGCTTGATCATTGAGTTACTAGCTCAGTGACTTTATGGGGAAGTAAATTTGTAACAGGTAACTAATTACTTTTTGAAAGTAATTCAAGTAAAATGCCCATCACTGCTAATGAAGACCTGATCAGTCATGTACATTATCAGTGTGGTGATGTGCTCCTGTTACTTCTGGTCCAGTTGGTCCAGTGAATGTTTGACCTTTCTATTCTTGTCACTCTAAACTTACTCTGCCTTTCCAATGAAGACCACCTACTCAGCACGACCACCCACCAGCTTACTACTACTACTACTACTTTTACTACCCTCGTATACTCACATACTCGTATACTCTTACCCTGCTCCTTATTTCGTCTTTATATGACTCACTGTGCTTCATACATGGTTCATTTTCAGCCCTGGAATTGCCACTACTGAACTAAAGATAAAAGATTGATGTTAACTTGAAAAGTACCACGACATAAAGGGTTACTGCAATGTGTGAGCGAAGAAAACACAACTTAGAGCACACAACAAGAGTCATTTCACATATTACAGGCCGTGTAAACAGTCTCGAGTCTATTCTTGTTTTTACAGTGCGGTGGATGGATAGAGAGTGTGCAACAGAAACAGCAGTAAACTTCACTTTTATGATCCCTGCCACGAGATACAATGTGAAAAAAGTACTTCAGCGCCTCGTAGTTGCAGTACTATAGTCATATCAGCAGGGAGACGTGTTGTCAGCAGTAGCGTAACAAAAAGTAACATTGCTTGCCCTAGATTTATATAAAGTCTTTCAAAATGTTTATGTGCAATCAGCCACCGAACACTCACTCATCATGATTAAGTTGAGCGAAATGTCTTGCCTAAGGACACAACAACAGCCCTACTTAGCTTCAGAGATTTGACGAGCTTACAAAACAAAAATGCCAGAGAACTACACATTTTAGCGGCCGCAAGAAACTGAGACGATTCTGAGAAAGAGGGCGAGCCTTTGGGTGCAGTTAGACGCCCATAAAACATCAACCTTTGTCCATTTTGGGTTTCAGAATGACACATGTACAATTATAACAGGTCATGTAATTAACCACATTTATGTTATTGAGCACAATGGTGTAATTCCGAAATCCCTTGGTGAGGTACTACACAGAAAAAAGTGGAGCAATATTATTTGAGTCCAGTCTGTTCTAGAGTTAATTTAACATTTTTGGAAATGTTAATGCGGTAACACTGGACCAAAGTTCCTGTTTAACCCCGAAATCAAGAGTTATATTAATGTTTTGAGAGTAAAGGGATAACACTTTGTAGGGTTATCTTGATTTAGCTAAACAACACACAGAAGTGTTTTCTTTTTACACTTTATTTTAGTTAATTTAAGATGAAATTATGAACAAAGCTGGTTCAAACTGGTCTTCTCTAGTGGGAGTTTGAAGAGGTGGGTGAGATGTGCCAAATTAACACTAAGGTAGAACTGAACGATCTGTTGTTTTGGACGGAAAATCTCAATCTGAGACAACATGATTTTGGGAGCGTCAAAGCTGTGTTTTTTTTTTTTTTTTGCAGTGCTCCTAAAGCCCAATTTAAGGGTGAAATTTAGTTCTGCATCAACTCAGTGCACACTGCTGTCGTCGACTTCTCGCCTTGTTTTTGATTTATGGCTCTGCATCAAGGTCTATGGCCACGAAGTAATTCACCACCAGAACACGAGGAGACAAGGATTTAAACCTGGTGTCTGTGTAAAGTTTCACATGAACCATCTCCAATGCAACAGAAGCACAGAACAGACTCACCGTCAGCAGAACACCCCTCTGTCACAGAGAGACAGAGACACACTCATATTCCACTGAGTCATGTCCATTAGTCGAACACATGCTGAACCACATCAGCACACAAGGAGTGAGCTGTTTTTTTCAGCGTTTATAGTTTATGCAAATGAGCCATGAGCGGTGGTAGAGACGACCAATCACAGCTCTTATCGTCTGTGTAATCTGGGGTAACTTGGGCTTTATGGTCCAGCATCAAATCGTTGGTGCTGGACTCTGACATGATGTAAGTGTCTGTGTAAATGTTTGTAAATGTTCCTGTGCACTGAAACTTGATTTGAAAAAAAAAAAAAGTGGATAAAATCGAAATCTGCTGGAAAAATCACAATTCAGTTTTTTCTTAAATCATTCAGCCTTCCACTAAGGGAAGTTGAATTAACACTAGGCGAAGTTGAATTAACTTCAGCCATATCATCTCTGACTTATAACCCCAACTCCAGCACGCATTTAACTTTCAAATGGTTAAAATAACACTTTTTGGATTAAAAACAACTCTGACAAATTTTACCCTGACATTTTAACCCTCCAGTTTTTGCTGTGTTGGAAGGAGGTGGAGAGTTAGTGGTGGCTCCAGAGCGACAGGTTGGAGACTGATGTAGAACCACTGCTCACCTATTTCTTCAGTAAAACTTTTAGCAGGAGTCAAAGTTCCCGTAATAAAGTTGAAGAGTCTGTTCCATTTCCAAAAAAAAAAAAAAAGCAAAAAACTGCATTTAACATGAGAGTGTGACAAAGTATGAGTGCATTATGAGGGTTAGGGTCAGTGCTCACTCTCAGAGTCACAGGAGGAGGACCATAAAGAACCTGGTGCAGTGTGGAGGTCTGTGAGAGTCTGTGGGGCTCGGGTCACTCAGGTCACTCTGCTGTACTGGGGTCTGAGGCATCAGCAGAGACAGAGAGCGACCAGAGGAGTGGAGAGCTTTGCACTTTTTTCAGTTTGGGCCTGTAGCCATGACCCAGTTATATAGACTTGGTTTAGTCCTGGTTTAGTTCTTCTTCAAGTTTAACATAAAACTCACAACACTGCAGACTCAAAGCCCCTGTTAGTCCTGAAAGAGTCCTGCTTTAGAACTGCTTTAACTTTCTTCAACATACTTTATCTCTCCACTGGAGACTGGAGACTCCTGTTAGTCCTGGTTTAGTCCTGGTTTAGACCTGGGTTAGTCCTGGTTTAGACCTAGATTAGACCTAGTTTAGTCCTGTTTTTTAACCTTGTTTAGACCTGGTTTAGTCCTAGTTTTGACTTGGTTTAGTCTCAGTTTATAGTTCAGACAAAATTTAGTCCTGGTTTAGTTCTGGCTTTGACTTCCTCCAACAAAGTACTAACTTTTCTCTCCATATTGCAGACTAGAGACTCCCATTGGCCCTGGTTAAATCCTGGTTAACTTCTGTTTTTAGTCCTGGTTCAGTCCTGGTTCAGACCTGGTTCAGTCCTAGTTTAGTCCTGGTTTAGACTTAATTTAGACCTTGTTTTAGTCCTGGTTTATACCTGGTGTAGTCCTGGTTTAGACTTAGTTTAGTCCTCGTTTAATCCTGGTTTAGACCAAGTTTAATCCTGGTTTAGACCAAGTTTAGTGCTGGTTTAGACCTAAATTAGACCTGGTTTAGTCCTGGTTTAGTCTTGGTTCAGTCCTGGTTCAGACCTGGTTTAGTTCTGCTTTAGACTTCCAACAACATAAAACTAATTGCAGACTGGAATCTCCCAAATCCTGGTTAAGTTCTGTGTTAGTCCTGGTTCAGACCTGGTTCAAACCTGGTTTAGTCCTAGTTTAGACCTGGTTCAGTCCTGGTTCAGTTCTGCGTCCTCCCTTCAACATAAAACTGATTTCTGTCTCCACTCTGCGCTGAGGGAGTGGTCTGGTTACAATCTGCTGATGACAAAAGGGGGAGCCAGAACAAGCCTCTACCCCTCCTCCTCCTCCCTCCTTCTCTCTCTCTCTCTCTCCTCTCCTCCCTCTCCCTCTCTCCTCTCTCTCCCTCCGCTCACTGCTTCCTCAGAGCGCTCCAGTCTGCCCCACACATCACACTCACTCATGATCGTTTAGCCTTTTTTTACTCCAAACTCTTCCTCCTTTTTTCCCCCTTTTTTCTCGTCCATGTCTTAGTCCGGAGACATGATGGGGAACTCCGCGTATCTATGGACGTTTGGGCTTCTAATCGGACTGCACGTTTTGGCGGTGGTCGCGCAGGAAGCTGAAGGTTCGGGTGAGTGGAGGCTTCTGTCAGATTCTGCAAAAAAAGAGAAAGTGGCTGGAGGTTTTTTGGAGTTTCTTTGAGTTTTCGGTGGAAGTTTTGTGTCGTTTTGGCAAAGTTCCAGGCTGAAAGTTAACTCGGGGTGAGGAGGAGAGGAGATGTAGCCTGAAGGGGCAATAAAGAGCTGGTATTTTGAGTGGTTGTAACTTGATTGTGTTCCTGTTGGAGGATTACGGAGAGTGAAGTGTTGAAAACGTGGTGTTAAAGTGGCTCTGTGGAAATAAGAATCAGCAATTTCAACACCGGAAAAATAATCCCCACTGAAGGATTTTTTGTTTTTTTTGGTTTGATATGGAAACAATCTGCACTGACAGATGTTTTCAGGGTTCTACATTGTGCAGAATGGGCTCTTCGGAGTAAAAACTGGAGTGTTGAAATGTCAGAGTGAAAAATTTCAGAGTTGTTTTTAACACAAAAAGTTTTATTTTGACTGTTTGAAAGTTAAATGTGGGTTGGTTATTTGCCAGAGTTGATGTGGTTGGAGTTAATTCAACTTCCGCTAGTGTTAATTTGGGACCTCCCACCCACCACTAAACCAGGATTAAACTAGGACTGAACCAGGACTGAACCAGAACTGAACCAGTACCAAACCAGCAGAGGACTAAAACAGGACTAAACCAGGTCTAAACCAAGACTAAACCAGGACTAAACCAAGAGAGGACTAAACTAGGACTAAAACAGGACTAAACCAGGTCTAAACCAAGACTAAACCAGGACTGAACCAAGAGAGGACTAAACTAGGACTAAACCAGGACTAAACCAGGACTAAACCAAGACTAAACCAGGACTGAAGAGAGGACTAAACTAGGACTAAACTAGGACTAAGCCAGGACTAAACCAGGACTGAAGCAGGACTAAACCAGGACTAAACCAGGACTAAAACAAGAGAGGACTAAACTAGGACTAAACCAGGACTAAATCAGGACTAAACCAGGACTAATCCAAGAGAGGACTAAACCAGGACTGAAGCAGGACTGAACCAACTCCCACGAGAGAAGACCACTTTTACACCTAAAAAGTGTTAAAAAAAAAAAAAACTCAGGATAACCCTAAAAAGTGTTATCTGTTTACTCTCAGAACATTCATATAACTCTTGATTTTGGTTACACAGGAACTTTGGTCCAGTGTTACTTTAATGAACATTTCCCAATCATGTTAAATTAACTCTAGAACAGATTGGACTCATATAAACTCTGAGAAAATGTTCAAAATTATTCTGTGAGAGTTGATTTTAACACAACACTTTTTTGTTGTGTTGTGAGCTTTAAGTCATGTTATAAGTGGACTTGTGTTTTGTTTCATTCACACATGTTTGAGTAACACTTTATTATTAGTCTGTCTGTATCTCCAAAGCTTCAAATGCTCTGTTCCACCTTGTGATGTCACGAAGTAGAGTTAGTTTTCAAGTTAACAGCTGCTTTTCTTTTACCTTTAGTTCAGTAAAGTTTGACAGTTGTAGGGCTTAAATGATCCAAATGATTAAAGGTATGAAGTGAAGGTGTTTGGAGTTAAAAACACAGTGGAGCACTTCCTGTATCACCACATGACATCACAAGGTGGAATAGAGTGTTTAAAAGTCTAAATAGTCACTATAAATCTGCAGGTTTGTGCGTTAAACATGTGTGCAAGAAACAAAACACAACTCCATTCAAGTTTTAACTAAAAAAATGTGTCGAAATTCGAATTTTTAGGCAATTTTTCAATCAGATTTCGTTTACTCAAATACTAAACGACATCCAAAATCCTCTCTGTATAACTTTTAGTATCTTATAAACAAAAATGAAATAAAACACGTAAGTCTGGCTCCTTCAGATTCATCCCAGAAATTGTGAATTTGTACCGTTTTACAAATAAAATGAGATTTATTTTTGGAATGAAAACATGACGTGATTAAAAACCTGTAGTAGATTTTAAAACACATCAGATATTTGACACTGACTCTTCTAAACGTGAGACGTGCTCCTCTTCTTCTTCTTCTTCTTCTTCTCGAGTCTGGTCTAGAATGAGTCAAATATAAAAAACAGACAGGATTTACAACGGAACAAGACACAGAGTTGTTTTCCATCTCGTCTGAAGTCCACAGAGACCAGAAGATTTCAAACTGAAATTCAAATTCTTGTCATTTCCTTTTAGCTGTAAAAATGTAAAAATCTGAAAATGTGTTTCAAATTAGGAACAATGTGCTGAAAAAGTGGAACAAGTTTAAACCAGTTGTGTTTTGTAAGGTTTATTTTCTTCCAATATTTGATGCTTTTTAGTCTTTTACCAGTGTTTCTTTAGTCCTGGTTTAGTCCTGTTTTAGTCCTGGTTAAGTTCTGGTTTAGTCCAGGTTTAGTCCTGGTTTAGTCCAGGTTTAGTCCTGTTTTAGTCCTGGTTTAGTCCTGGTTCAGTCCTGGATTAGTCCTGGTTTAGACCTAGTTTAGTCCTGGTTCAGTCCTGGTTCAGTCTGTTCTAGTCTTGATTTAGTCCTGATTTAGTCCTGGTTTAGTCCTGGTGTAGTCCTGGTTTAGTCCTGTTCTAGTCTTGGTTTAGTCCTGATTTAGTCCTGGTTTAGTCCTGGTTTAGTCCTGGTTTAGTCCTGGTTTAGTCCTGGTTTAGTCCTGGTGTAGTAGTCCTGGTTTAGTCCTGATTTAGTCCTGGTTTAGTCCTGGTTTAGTCCTGGTTTAGTAGTCCTGGTTTAGTCCTGGTTTAGTCCTGGTTTAGTCCTGGTTTAGTCTGGTTTCCTGTTAGTCTGGTTTAGTCCTGTTTAGTCTTTTAGTCCTGGTTTAGTCCTGGTTTAGTCCTGGTTTAGTCCTGGTTTAGTCCTGGTAGTCCTGGTTTAGTCTGGTGTAGGGTTTAGTCCTGGTTTAGTCCTGGTTTAGTCCTGTTTCTAGTCTTGGTTTTAGTCCTGGTGTAGTCCTGGTTTAGTCCTGTTCTAGTCTTGGTTTAGTCCTGGTTTAGTCCTGGTTTAGTCCTGGTGTAGTCCTGGTTTAGTCCTGGTTTAGTCCTGTTCCTAGTCTTGGTTTAGTCCTGGTTTTAGTCCTGGTGTAGTCCTGGTTTAGTCTTGGTTTAGTCCTGGTTTAGTCCTGGTTTAGTCCTGGTTTCGTGTGAAGACTCTGCAGCCGTTTTTGGGCATAACATTTGGAGCAGGTTTGATTTATTTAAAGTGATAATAAACATGTGCACATGCTGACGCTGTTTCATTTAACAATACAAAACAAGAACGTCTCCATGGAGACGAGCAGGTGAAAAGTTACACAGGCCCCTTTAATTCAGACGAGTAAATAGAACCGGTGAAGTGTTGTCCTCTGTCCAGTTTTTCTGCCAAACCAAACTGTGCTGTGCATTTTGACAGACGAGAAATCACCGACCAACTTCTGAAACCTGAAACCAACGTTTAGAACACAGACTTTACAACGGTCCTGGTTTAGTCCTGGTTTGGCCCTGTTTTAGTCCTGGGTTTAGTCCTCCTTTAGTCCTGGTTTAGTCTTGTTTTAGTCCTAGGTTTGGTCCTGGTTTAGTCCTGATTTAGTCCTGTTTTAGTCCTGGGTTTAGTCTTGTTTTAGTCCTGGTTTGGTCCTGGTTTAGTCCTGGTTTAGTCCTCCTTTAGTCCTGGTTTAGTCCTGTTTAGTCCTAGGTTTAGTCCTGGTTTAGTCCTGTTTTAGTCCTGGTTTAGTCCTGTTTTAGTCCTGGTTTAGTCCTGTTTTTGTCCTGGGTTTAGTCCTGTTTTACTCCTGGGATTAGTCCTGTTTTAGTCCGACGTTTGGTCCTGGTTTAGTCCTGTTTTAGGCCTGGGTTTGGCCCTAGTTTAGTCCTGGTTTAGTCCTGTTTTAGTCCAGGTTTAGTCCTGGTCTCCTCAAGGTTTTGTCCCAGTTTTGTGATATGTTTGTGTGATCAAAGTAGTCCTGGTTTCGTCCTTTTCCAAAAATCCTAATGTAGACATCCTTTGGTCTCATTATGGTCCTGGTCTAGTCCTGGTTTAGACCTTGTTAAATCCAGGTTAAATCCCACTTTAGTCTCAGGTTTTTATATGTGGACGTGCGAAGGCAGAAATGAAGTAAATCCTGGTCTAGTTCTTGTTTAGTCCCGGTTTAGTCCTGTCCTAGTACCGGTCCAGTTTTAGTCTAGTTCTAGTGATCTAGTCGAGTTATAATCCTGGTCTGGTCCTGGTGGTTTAGTCCTGGTCTAGTCCTGGTTTCATGTGGTCTGTGTTCATGTATGGACTCAGTCTTTTTCCATGAGTCCTGATGATGTCAGTGTCTGGAATTGCACCCTCCACCTCGGGAACATCTCGCTCACGTTTTGGCTCCCCCACACTCCGAGCTTTTTCCACAAATCAGGAACAATAAAAACTGTTCCCACAAACTGAAGCTGCTCTGAGGGCTTTTGTTTGGGCTCCCGGCACAAGTGAGTGTTTGTCAGATGTTTTAGTCTGGTTTAGTTCTATTTGTCCTGTTTAGTCCTGTTTGATCTGCTCAAATCCTGGTTTAGTCCAAGTTTAGTCCTGGTTTAGTTCCTGGTCAAATATGCTCCTGAACCCACTTGAGTCCAGGATGGTTTCTGACAAAGTTTTAGCTCAGTACAAGTTTAGACCTGGTTTTAGTCTTGGTTTAGTCCTGGTTTACCTCTGCTTTAATCCAGGTTTAGTCCTAATTTAGTCCAGATTTAGACCTAGTTTTGTCCCGGTGTAGTGTTTTTTTAGTCCAGGTTTAATCCTAGCTCAGTTCTGGTTTAGTCCTGATTTAGATCTGATTTAGCCTGGTTTAGTCCAGGTTTAGTCCTGGTTTAGTCCTGGTTTAGTGCTGGTTTAATCCTGATTTAGTGCACCTTTAGTCCTGATTTAGTCCTGGTTGAGTCCAGGTTTAGTCCTGGTTTAGTGCTGGTTTAGTCCTGGTTTAGTCCTGGTTTAGTGCTGGTTTAGTCCTGGTTTAGTCCAGGTTTAGTCCAGGTTTAGTCCTGGTTTAGTGCTGGTT